AAACCGCAAAAATCCACTCCTTCACCGTAAATACAAAATAATACGGCAGACATTTTATATCAACTGTCAGTCGACAGCCATAGTCACATTTATAAATGACTTACAAACTGTGTTACGCCTCCAAAGGATTGGTGTTTTCCGTAAACCAATCTCGTTTATAATGGCAGTTGACAAATCGCAATGCAGCATTTCCATTTCTTACTATGACAGTGATGCAAATCTTAGGCCGCTAGCAATCGGTGCTCTTAATGGTGGGGATCGCAATGAAAATTACAAAAGTGAACAAACTTACTAGTTATTGACCAATAAGATCATGAATATTTTAGTAAATTTGCTCACTTTTGTAATTTTCACTTTATTTCATGCTACACAATCGACCCCTTGAATACATCAATTATCTTATTCGAACTTTCGAGCAGCGGCGAGAAACATGGTCATGACCCCCACCACCAATGGCGCTAGTGGACACAACCTCTACCTCCAATGGCGCTAGCGACCTAAAACTTGCATTTTGTCACTACTGACAATGATAAACGCCATAAGAGGGCGTGGTTAACAACAATTAAGTGAAACCAAAACGCCATAAGAGGGCATGGCTAACAAGTGAAACCAATATGTCGCCGCAGCATGTGAACCAATATGTCGCCGCAGCATGTGAATAGAATACGCAGAGAGAAAAAAAAAAGTAAGTACGAGAAAAAAATTATTTAGTATAATAATTATTTAGTATAATATGGTAAAATATATAAATTTTTACAGAAATGAGCGAGAAAAAGAAAAATACTTCCCCCAATGCAGCGACTTCTACTGAAAATGCAGAAATCGCTGCATTGAAGGAAGAATTGAGAAAACTAAAAGAAAAATATGGCGATAGCCAAGGAGAAAAAATGCCATCCCTGCCACCGGGGTCACCGCCGCCGTCACCGCCGCCATCATCATTGGAATTAGAACCACTGTCATTATCGGGGTCACCGCCGTCATCGGGGCCACCGCCGCCACCAGGGCCACCGCCGTCATCGGGGCCACCGCTGCAAGCGGTTTTACAGTTGCCAACATTGTTGCAGCAGCCGCTACCACCGCCGCCGCCGCCGCCGCTGCCACCAGCATCAGCCTCACCTTCACCAGTGGTAGATACATCGTATCTACCACCATATATCGTGAAAGGTAATTAACAAATTTTGATAATTGTATACTATCACTGCCTCACCTCCGATTTTGATCCATTAGGCTCTTTCGACGTCGTTTTTTTTTTTTTTTTAAACTTTTTCCTCTCGCAAAATTGTCGCTCTCCTCCGCGAGACGAGATATTTAGCGTCAAAGTTGACGACTTTCCAGGTTAAGAAACCTGTCACTTCGACGAATTGCTTTGCGTAGACACAGGGTATTCCCGCCCCCCCCGTCCGGGGGGGGGGCCGGACCCCCTGTGTAAAATAAGAATAATAAAACTTTCGTGCGTATTCCAGAGCGGCATAGATTGCTTGATCTATCAAACTAGCTTTAACATTATATATTTTTGTGCAATCTAAACTAGCTTTAGCATTGAAGTAGCTTTAGATTGTACAAAAATATATAATGCTAAAGCTAGTTTGATAGATCAAGCAATCTATGCCGCTCTGGAATACTCACGAAAGTTTTATTATTCTTATTTTACACAGGGGGTCCGCCCCCCCGGAGGGGGGGGCGGAATACCCTGTGTCTACGCAAAGCAAGGTTCATAATTATACTACTGCAATTCGTCGAAGTGACAGGTTTCTTAACCTGGAAAGTCGTCAACTTTGACGCTAATATCTCGTCTCGCGGAGGAGAGCGACAATTTTGCGAGAGGAAAAGTTTTTTTAAAAAAAAAACGCGTCGAAAGAGCCTAATTAGATCAAAATCGGAGGTGAGGCAGTGATAGTATACAATTACCACAAATTTTTATATAAATTAAAAAAATATAACTAATATTTTAATATTCTTTTCAGAAATCAAGAATTGGCAGCGGCAGCAGCAGCAACAATGGCAGCAGCAACAGCAGCAACAATGGCAGTGGCAGCAGTGGGGACAAAATCACATGCCAGTTCTACGTAAGTTTTATTTTTTATTTTTTACCTCTGAAAACTAAAGAATTATATTTTTATATGTTTTTTGTTGTTACAGCACCACGGTGGAGTAGAGGAAGAGGAGGAGGAAATCGCGGTCACCGAGGAGGTCGCGGTGGAAATCGCGGTGGAGGTGGACACCGGCCGGTCCACTTCCATTTTTAAAACAGTTATATTATATTACAGTAAAAAAAGTTTATTTCTTTTCTTCTCTAAAAAAAAGTAGAAACAGATAGAAAAAGAACATTCGTATAATTTTCCAATGATTTTTTTGCATTATTTATTATGTTCTGATTTGTCGTTTCATAATATTTTTTGCATTATTTATTATGTTCTGATTTGTCGTTTTTATGTAACTACTAATGTTTAGTTTTATTTATTATGTTCTGATTTGTTCGTTTCATAATATTTTATGTAACTACTAATGTTTAGTTAAAATAATAGTATTTATATGAATCGGCACATTTTTTATCGAGAAATCATTTCACATAAAAAAACATGTTGAAATAAAATCAAACTATGTACTAATAGTTAGATATTACATAGAAAAATATTAAAACTTTATAGAAAAAAAATATAAGCATTTGTTACTGACATTTGAAAATGTATTGACTATTCAAAAATTATTTAAAGATCTTCGAAATTTTAAAACAATGTACTTTTTTATTTTATATAAAACATTAAATAAATTTTTATTATACAAACAATTACAATACCATAGACATTAATTCAACGTTTTTTTTATAAAAAAATTCCAATTAATGCATCTCATTAAAATATTTATTTATTAAAACATCTCCAATTTATATTCTATCTATATTGAGTATACATATATAAACATTACATTGGAAGATACTCGTTTTATATAAATTAATAAAAATTTTCATTTATTTACATTATACTTGTGCTCAAATATAAAACATAATATACAAATAAAGTTACACATAGAGAACATGAATCTTAGGACATTTCTAAATATGATTTGAAACAATCCATGCTATTGCTTATACAGGTTTTCATTTGCAATGCAATAACAGTTGCCGATCTGTTGTTACACCAGATTCCGTTATACCACCCAATATGTCTACAAGTGCTAAATGACTAATACCCAATTCAAGCCACATACATCTTATAATATTATTTAAAAATGTTTCGTGTTTTAACTGTATCAAATAAAAGTGCTATTTGCTTATCATATATTTTCACCCGTTTATCTTTCTGTTGTTCAAAGCCTGCAACATATTTGTATGCTATGGATATATATAATATAATTTTCCCATGAATTTTCACATCCTTCTCCATAGTAAAATATTTCTTTGCTGAATTGAACCATTCCAAAACCTTTTTAAAAACTATTTTAATATCATTTAAATTTGACAAATATTTATCAGAGATCTGAATAAATAAATCTGAATAAATGAAATCTCATCATTTAGCTCTTCTTCCAAATTAGTAAATAATAAACATTCTGCTGATTTTTCTTCAGATTTTGTAGAATTGGAACATTCTAAGTTATCAACTTCACAAGATTGATTTTTTTTTATTTGATAATAACTTTTCTTTTGACGCATGCGAAAGCTGAACTCCATATTGTCCGCATAATTTAGCAATTTTCGCATATTTATATTGACACTCTGTATGCATTGTGTTTAAGAGTAAATTTGAATCTCTGTCATTTATCGTTGACTCTGTCATCATTGTCAGCTTGGTTCTTAATTTTTTCGCACTACTTCTATACAACGTATAGTATGCAGCAACAATATCAAGATAACTTCTAGCTTCAGTAAAGCGATTGTGATGTATAAAATATCGAGATAACTCAGCTGCAGTCATAGCCCAATCCTTATAATATTGACGTATAGACTCTTCCTTTATTAGATTGTTCAGTAAATTATGCATACAGATAACAAATTCATGTTTGTCTGGATTACGGACATATTCTATTGATAGCTGTTTTAACTAGGAAGAAATTCTCTGCTTTTGTATATAGACTGTATGTATTTTGTTCTATTTCTTTTTCTATTTCCATGTATATTATACCAAAATTTAATAAAGTTAATGCAAAAGCTACAGTATTATCAAATTCTATATCTGTTTTGTTGGTCATTGGTTTAATCATCTTAAGTATTTTGCTTTCTAGTGTTGTAAATATCTTGTTTTCTTTTTTGGGAAATTTTCCTATTTCATTTAATGAAAAATTAAGTATTTTATACGATGATTTCAACATTTCTAGAAATTTCTCACTAATATTCAGTATGATTCTGTCGGTTAATTCCTCAGCTAAACATAGATAAATATTAAAAGATTATTTTATGAACATTACAGCATACAGAAGTATTTTAAACAGATTTTTACTTACAATTATTACCAAATTTGTATATTTAAGCTGGCTAGTCATTGCTTATTGATATCATTCCATCCTTTGAAATCAAATTTCTACTTTAGGTGCAGACTCTTCTTCCTTTGATTACAAAGAAAAAGGTGGTATTCTACAAAATTAAATGAATATCCGTTTTCTCTTTCCATCCTAAATGTTTCCCTAGAGTTAAAAAATAAATAAATTAAAAAAACAATATATATTGATAAGAATTAGATAATCATACCACATATAACCACTAGGAGCTTGCAAACTCACATGACTACTATATTGAAAACCCATGTAAATGGTAAAAATTATATATATATAACAGTAATATAACGCAGACATTCTCTGTTTCTTTATATTATCATGAGCAACATAATCTAATTCTGGAATAGCGTACAAACTGCGACTGCTCTCATGATTGCCCAAGAAAGTTACCGCTTCTGTTTGAGCGCCGCTAAACAGTATATAAAAGTATTATATAACATATAAAGCAAAATAAAAATTATAATTTTTTGCTTCTTACCATAAAAGGACAATCTCGTTGATCAATGAAAACCCAATTAAAGAATAAAATCACACCTCGATCTGTATAAAATCAACACATATATATATATATATGCGCTGATGGCGCTGAGAAGCCGCGCGGCGCGCACTTACATTTGTTTGACATTTA